GTGTGTGTGTGTGTGTGTGTGTGTGTGTGTGTGTGTGTAAAAAAAGAAAATACACACACAAGGCACACAAGGTGTGTGTGTGTGTGTGTGTGTGTGTGTGTTTGTGTGTGTGTGTGTGTGTGTGTGTGTGTGTGTGTGTGTGTGTGGCCAGTAATGGAGCTTGAGCTTTCACTTGGATCTTTTGCTTAAGGCTAGTTCTCTGGCCCTTGAAGCACTCCTCTTCAAAAACCAAGTATTTTTTTAATCCATAGTTCAGATTGGCTATAGACATTACCTACTTAAAGTAGGAAAGTATGTTAAGCATGAAGATTTTCATTTTAATAAGATTGAAACCAAATCAATAATATATTCACACATGTCTCCCATACAAATCCCTACTTAGCAATAATAGAATAACAGAATCACAAGAGATAGGTTTATTTGTTGGGTGGGTGGGAGGTGAGGAGAGCTTAATCATTCATTTTTTCTTTTTTTTTCCTCCTGGTCCTGGGGCTTGAACTCTGGGCCTGGGCATTGTCCCTGATATTCCTTTGCTCAAAGCTAGCATGGCTTTTTCTGAGTAGTTAGTTGGAAATGAGAATCTCACAAACTTTACTATCCCGAGGAGGCTTTAAACTTCAATCCTTGAAACTCAGCCTTCTGTATAGCTAGGATTTCAGGCATAAGCTACCAGTTACCCAGCCCAAAGGTTCTTTTTGCACACTGACCTTGATTCAGGGGACAGTCATGGCCTTTATAAGGTCATTCCTAACACAAACTTTTGTATTGAGATTATTCAGCCTGACTCACAGTTATAAAATGACTCAAAGGCCATAAAGAGAACAAGTCCATGGGACAAAGCCCTACATCATTTTTCCCTAAATGGTTTCCTAGCTGACACCACCGTAAAGCAAGGTTCTCCTGGGCCCTGAGTTCACCCTCCTTCGGGACAGGGTCAGCAAACTCTGACGACTGTGTTCTGTGAGGTTCAGTCACTCACTCATAGTGAGTGTTCGCTCAACTTCTAGGTCAGAATGCATGTACTGTACTATCTTCTCTCCACCAAGACAAGACTGATACAAAGAATCTATTACAGTGCTGTCAATTCTTTAATTCAACAAAAGGAAGCTTTTTAGACTCTACAATCTCATCTCACTACCATATATCTGTCTAGGATCAGACAAAATGATTTTTTAAAAACTTTTAAAGAGAAGGATAGATGTACGGCAGGGGTTATATTCATCATGACCTGAAATTTCTAAGATCCAACTGCAGTTATCATTTACATCCTTACAGTGTGTCAGAAATGAATACTGAACATCCTGTTGGCATTTAATCTTCAGAAAAAATCCCCAAAGATAGGCATGGTGGACCCAGTCTGTAATCCCAGCATTCAGGAAACCAAGGCAAGAAAATATCAAGCTTAGAGCAAGCCTGGGCTCCCTAGCAAGACCCTAAAAATATTAATTAACTAATTAATTAATTAAAATAGCAACCACTGTTAATTATATGTTGTTTTGTCATTCTAAATATGTAAGTCCGCGTGTTCTTCTGAGCCTTGTAAATTAGCCCTGGGGAATAAATATCCCCCACAGAGAAATTGGCTTTCACATAGGGTTTCACATGTGAAGATCTGTAAGAACTATGATCAGTCTGGAACATAGCTCCTCCCACATAGTCTGTAAGCATTCAAAAGGCTGTTATTTTGATTCCAGGATTTGAAGGAATCAAAATGTATATGGAAACAAGGAGTCTAACATTATCATGGTGCACTTAGCATTCACTACTCTTGAGGAAACAAAATCAGTATCAAGACATGACTCATGACAAGAACATATTAATATGAGGAAACTGAGTAACTTTCATAAATTTGAATAGGCCCCAGAACTGCCTTTTAATTGCTGGTCGAGTTCATAATGAGTAGAAACAGTTAAGTTATATGGTATGTAATTTCAAGAAGGAAATTAATGTATCATCAAATTACCTAAAACTAAGGAATAAATATCATCATGCGTAATGACTCTTGCCTATAATCCCAGCTACATACTTGGGAAGCAAAGACTGGGAGGATCCTGGTGCAATGCTAGCCCAGGAAAATAGTTGGTAAGAACCAACCTCATCCAACAATCACGTTGTGGGGAGCACATTTGTGGGAGCATAGAGGTAGGAAAACTGAAGTTCAAGGCTAGTCCTGGCACAAAGCAGGAGGCCCAATCTAAAAAATAACTAAAGCAAAAATGGCTAGGGTGTGGTTCAAATGGTAAAGGACAAGCCTAGCAAATGTGAGGCCCATATTAAAACTTCAGTCCTACCTCCCCCCAAAAAAGAAAAAAAAGGTAGAAGAGGGAGGAGGGGGAGGAGGAGGAGGAAGAAGAAGAGCAGGAGGGGGAGGAAGAGGAGGAAGAGTTGCTATCCATGAAAAAGTGCTCTGGAACAGACTAACTCATTTATTAATTGTAACATCTAAAGCCAGCAAAAAAGTAACAATCCTGCCTACCCAGTCCAATGCAAAAAAGATAGTCAAAACCGCCATATTCATTCCAGATGGAAAGAAAGAAGAGAAGACAATGAGAAATTAATATTAGTTACAGTAGTCACCTTATACAAGTGTAATTTCCTTACCTTAGTCAGAGCTTGTCCTAAAAGATTCTCAAATGCTTTCAAATTAAGATAGGGACCATGATAGCAGGGATTACTTTGTGCTTTTCTTCCCAGCCAGTACAAGGTTATCAAAACCTTAAAAAGAAAAAAAAATAGCATAAACAACATCAGTTGGTTTAGTAACTAATTCCAGCTTCAAATGCAGGTGATATATATATATATATATATATATATATATATATATATATACATACACACACACACATATATATATATATATATGATAACTCATATACTACTTTATGATTGAAAGGCAGTCTTTTATATTTACTAAAGAACAGTTAGAAATCTTAATCATTCTTA